CTGGAGGAGAATGTGAAGCTCAAGGCCAGCTGGGCTGCAGTGACCATGAAATGGAGTTTGAGTCTCTCAGGACAGTGAAGAGGGTGCTCAGCAAACTCAGTACCCTGGATTTCAGAAGAGCAGACTTTGGCCTCTTCAGGAATCTGCTTTGTAGAGTCTCATGAGATAAAGCCCATGAAGTTTCCCATTGCACTTACAAAGCAATTGGTTCTTCTCAACACTCTGCACTTGTTAATGCAAAGTTGGTGATTTTATTTAAAACAGTACTTTTCATTTCATATGAGCAAGTATCCACAGAGAGCACAGTCCTCAGTTTGCAATGAGAATGTTTATCAGATCCTCTCCTCCCTCATGTTGTGACAAGCACAGCCCACACACATTTTGCAGACTCATTTGTCTCCTTAACAGCCTCTGCCTCATGAGTTACAGCCACTGCTGAGGAGTCACTGCTGTGCTGACACTGCTGTGCTGCTACAGCCATTCTGGGACCATAAAGATCACAAAGGATTTGGCTGCTCCCGTGTTCTGCTCTAAACATTATCTTCTTCCCATCCCCCTTTGGAGGAAGGTTCTGCCCTCCTCTGCCTTAGGCAGCTCTCTTCTAACTCTGTCCATGAGTCACAGTGAGTCAGACACTTCTCAGATCTACCACACACATGTGAGCAGGCCCTGAGGTACATGTGAATGTTCACTACATCAGTGAAGAGCTCCCACATCTGCATTATTCAGATACTCCACTGGAGTGCAGTGAACATATCCAATTTCTGGACCTACCAGGGACCTGCTGGTGCATCATAGCTCAGGACAGTCCTAGATCTTAACAAAATGTGTCCAGGTAAACCTTCGGTATGATACAACTGACTATGTCCAAGAGACTAAGATGTTTCCATTTCTAGTAGCATATCCAGCCTGCTAAAGGAATAGATTGTCACAGCTACTCTGATCTGAGGGCTGTGGAGAGATTTCTTTAGTCCCTTTTGGGAAAGGAGAGAAATTGTCAAAACATACAGGGCAAAGGCAAGACTTATTTCTTACATTTCAAAATAAGCTCAAGCTCCTGTGCCAGGGAGATTTGAGACCTGACTGTTCTGCTGAGGCTTCCAGCTGAACAGAAAACAAAGCACATTTTGCCCTACCACTGGAGAAAGTTCAGCTGTGGGATTTCAGGTAACTGCAGTGAATTTGCATAGAGAGGAGGTGAAGTGTTTAAATTAGTTTAAAACAGCACTACCACTCCTCCCCTCTTGAACAGCAGCTTCTTCTTCACCCTCAACTGCCTTGCACTGATTTCACCAGCCCTCTATGATGTGCAGATAACACCATGAACTGGGTTTACCAGGGCTATTTCAGAGGGTGTTAGGTGACCTGGAACAGGCTGACAGATCCTGACCTAACTGCCTGTACCTCTTGCACAGCCAGGAATTGCCTCTTGATTTCTATAGCAACTTTCCCATTGGACCACTGGCATGATTTTCTGCTTCATTACATGTATTCATTTCCAACTGGATCTTGACAACGTAGCAACTATTGGAAGCACTGAGACAAATCAGGAATAAACAAAAACTACTGGAATTTAAAATAAATTAATTTTTTTTCCCATGGGTTCCCATAACCATCTGGGTGTGCTGCTGTTGTTGATAATCCCAAACTGATCTGAAAGCATGGTCTATTGGTCTCAGAGCAGACATCAGAGACCTTTCTTTGAACATAAATAATCCAAAAGCCATGAACACGACAGATGGAGAAGTTCTCTCTAGTGGATAAGAATGCAAGGAGTGCACTGGAATGGGCCCTTCTCTAGTCATATGAACACTCTGGGTGAAGTGCTGTATAGTAAAATCACTAGCAGACAAGAAAATATTGCAAGCACATGTGTGTTTACTCCCAGTGTACCACAGCATGCAATCAGGTCATGCCATCAGCTTCTATAAACATCAGGTGGGTCATGTCAGGGTGTAATGCAAGATGGCACCCAGCCCAATTTAACTCTTATTTAAAGTAAGTCAGGTATTCCTGCTGAGATAGCCAGCACTCTTCTATGCATAGAAAGCCAACATCTGCAAAATACCTGCTTCAGAAGTCTGAAACCACACACAGAGCGCCTCTCCTGGGTTTAGTACCTGCTGTGGAAATCATACATCCTAACAGGAGCTGGTTGACACAAATTAGCACTGGAAGCAGGCTGGTCTCATCATTCAAATGCCAGCTTGAGACCCAGAAGGAATGAATTTGACTCATTAATGCAGCACAGATTCCCTGTGTCTCTCCAAGCACTGGTTCCCTGCTTGATCTCTTGAGGATTATCAGTGCAGGCAAACCAGCCCTGTGAGAGAGATGTCAGGGATAAACACATTATGGGCTGATGTGTTCCAGTGCTACACTACCAAGGGAGAAGCAATGTATTATACCCTCCTGCAACTCTGAGCTCCAGCCCTCCTTCCCACTAGATTAAAAATTAAATACAGGGTGATAAAGAGTCCTTTACTGCTGTGGAGATATGCACAGGATCCCTCCTGGAAGCATGCACAGAAGCCCGTGAGCCATCAGCATGGAAATCATTCCTCCTGTGGCAAGATCCCCTGATTTCAGGACCCTGAAGCTGAACT